ATAAAACATGTAGTATAGCAATTAATTCCGGGGTGCTTGATGCTGTTGACGTTTTTGCCACTCGCTCGGATCAGAACAATTGAATGAATCCAGATACTTGTGTGGTCGTCATTGAACGAGTTATCTAAAATGACCTTATGATTGCAGAAAACCTATAGCTGAAACTCACCGTATGTTTTTGGAGAATTGTCATCCTTGTTGTTTGGCAATGGAACTCGAGAATATGAAATTAGGCAGGCAGTGGTCGGAAGAAAAGGTATTACAGGATAGTGCATAGTTTAGAACAGGATGAGGTGTTAAGTGAAGGAGCACTAAGAATTAGATCCAGATAACTATTTAGTCCTTGATTACATTGCTAGTCAATATATATTTGCTAGAGCTTGATGTTTAAACAAGTCTATGTCGCTGAAGCAGGTAAATGCTACTAAAGCTTGTTAGCGAACCATCAAAGCTAATTAGTTGATATAGATGATCAACCTTTCTTATCGATTGAGCTAGTAAGTTATGTGAACTAATAGATATAACACTACGATAATATATGTGACCATTAATCAAAGGACTATTGGAATACTGGGTTTACAAAAATAAAAAACGATTGAGAAGGTTAAGGTGGAAATAAGGATTAACAATAATAGGTTGCGTTTCTTTAGTTGGGCTCACCAATGTAGAACTATGGTCTACTATGATATTAGTACTGCTCTTATAATAGACCTAATCCTAAATTTGTAGATTTGTCATGATGTAACTGCCTAATCTATAAGATCTTACGTGGAAGTCACACCATCGACTACACCAACTCACTGTATCGTATCAATTACCAATACATGATGTAGAACAAGGTTAGGCTAGAGAAGGAACAATATATTTAATATGAATAGAGGATATAAGGTAACATTCAGATGAACCACGCCTGCATGGTCGAGCCATGCCATCCGATCAACTCCAGTCCATTCAATTCATTCTTCGCGCCTTCTCCATTGTTAGGTATTTCTCCGCGTTAAATATTGAATATCTATTTCCTGAGTAGTCTCGTGTTCACAGCTTTGTGGATTGTGTGGCTATTGTCCAATGCCACTACAGACTCACAAATGTGGGCAACCAAATTGTTTGTTCTCCGTTGAGGAGGGAATGCAGTGTGACGACTGTAAAAAGTGGTATCACAAAATGTGTACACGACTAAGTCCGACGGCTTACAAAAGATGCTCGAAGCCTAACTCGCATTGGCTTTGTATGTTCTGCTGTACGGATAAAAAGGTACTAATACAGGAGGCTATGGGCCTATTGGCTTTGGCCTGCAAGAAAAATGATGGCGGAAGCACTGATAACAGGAGCACTGACGATGAAGAATGTGTCAGTGTAGTAAGTGCTGCTACTGGACCCATTAAACACCTGACTGCGGTTGACGGGAACGTGAAATCTCCGTTGACATTAACGAGAAATGAAGTGTCGCTTGATAATGACATCGGCAGTCATACACCTCTAGTCGAAATAGAAGATCCGGATAAAACTGTCACCGTTCCACATAGTCCAGGTGTGGCTGTTCTGAGTGGTGACAAATGGACTTCGGTAAGAAGAAAAAAAATAAGAAGAAAAAGGCTGTAGGCAAAACGCAGCTGGTCAGCAAAACATTGGAAGGGATGTTATCAGAAGAAAAATCCTCACCGCGTGAAAAGACAGATCTCTCTGATAGATCAGTCATTTTTCATAAGATAAGAGAATCTTCAGATACTGAACCAAAGGCAAGATTTGAACATGATCTCAATCATATTAAGACATCATTAAGTAAACTACTCCCAGATACAGTTTCAGGAGTTAGTATTTGTAAGCTTTATAGAATAGGAAAAAAGGTGGATTCCGAAAGTCCTCAGAAAAACCGCCTCCTAAAGGTTACATTCAACACGGTGGAAGAAAGGAACCTGATTCTAAGTAATTCACGTAAACTGATTGGATCCGGAATATATGTCCGTGAGGACCTCAGCCTAGCTGATCGTATTAAGAGAAGAGCTGCAGAAGCGGAAATAAACGAGCGTCGCCGAAACGGTGAAAGAAACCTCGTTCTTAAGGGTTTTCAGATTGTAAAAGTTCGGAGCAAAACGATCCCCAAGCCACTCTGGGTGGCAAGGGAAAGCTCTCCACAGACTTAAAAGTGTGCTACACAAATGCTCGCAGCCTACTAAATAAAATGGCGGAGCTGAAGTCAGTGGTGGACAAAGAAAAACCGGACGTTATCGCTGTCTCGGAAACTTGGTTAACGTCAGAAGTATTAGATAGTGAAATCCAATTGACTGGTTTCATAACCAGTAGGGCTGATAGATTAAACCGAAGGGGAGGCGGGGTTATTTGTACACCAAAAGTACCCTAACCATAAGATTAGCTGAGACAGTAGCACATGTTTCAGGGACATGTGAACTGGTGAGATGTAAGTTGAAATGCCGAAGGCAAGATATTGAAGTAGTTGTAGTTTATCGCAGTCCAGAATGTGTAGCAGATGATTTTCTCCTTAGTAAACTTAAGTCCTGGTGTAACAACGGTAAAAGCCTTGTAGTAGGCGACTTTAATGCACCATATATAAACTGGGTTAACTTAGAAGTAGGGTCATCCATATCGTCGTTCGACTCCAAACTGTTAGAAACCTCGATTGGACTAGCATTATTCCAACACATTAGAGATCCCACAAGATACGACTTAAGAAACTCTTCTCTTTTAGATTTAGTCTTCACACACGGTGATGACGTTGGTCAAACGGCTTTTCTCCCACCACTTGGGAGAAGTGACCATGCAGTCATCTTATTCAAATTCATGGCTGAGATTGCTTGTCAAACAATTGCGCCGGCCCGTCCTAACATATGGAAGGCAGATATGCAGGCAATTAACTCCGCAGCATCGGCTGAGAACTGGGAAATTGACTCAAAGGCATCAGTACAAGAGGCATGGACTCTATTCAGGCAGTTATACAATCGGGTAACTCAACCATACATACCCTGGACTGTCCCAAAGAAAAAGAAGCACGGACATCCCTGGATAGGGCGGGATATTCGACGCTTACTAAGACAAAAGAAGAAATGCTGGGATGTTGCCATCCGCCTTGGCACAGCGGGTACGATGGAACGTTACAGATCGATAAGAAACGAGTGTATAACTAAAATTCGGGAAGCGCAAAGAAAATATGAAATGCAGCTGGCAGAATCTGCACTCAAGCAGCCCAAGAGGATATTCTCGTACATAAACTACAGAACAAGGATTCATCATTGGATTCCCAACCTAATTAAAGTAGGAAGTGAATCTGAAATGATAGAGGAAGATCAGGAAAAAGCTGAGGTTATGGCTGACTACTTTGGGGCAGTTTTCACTCAGGAACCTCCTCTAGAGAAAGAACCAGACCCAATTACAGAGTCAACAAACCAGCTGCTCACCGTGGACTTCGACCAAAACGATGTGCTTAAGGCTCTTAGCACCCTAAACATGGAGAAGTCAACAGGACCAGATGAACTACACCCTAAAATCTTGAGACATATTGCCCAATATATCGCAGCCCCACTGACTGTGATATTCAAAATGTCACTTGACCAAGGTGTGTTACCTATGGACTGGAAGGACGCAATCGTCACTCCCATACATAAAACAGGTCTACGACAAGTTCCATCAAATTACAGACCCGTAAGCCTCACCAGTGTTGTAATTAAAATACTGGAAAGAATAATCAAACGGACCATAACAGCATTTATGGAAACCAATAACTTGCTGAACATGGCACAACATGGTTTTAGAAAGGGTCTATCCTGTACAACGAACCTCCTTATAGCTAGGGAGCTCTGGATTAATGCGCTAGACAACGGAAACTCAGTGGATGTTGTCTACATAGACTTCAGTAAGGCTTTTGACAAGGTGCCAACTAATAGGCTGCTATTGAAGTTGGCAAACCTTGGTATTGCCGGACCTCTTTTAAAATGGATTAAGGATTTCCTAGTAGGTCGTAGGCAAAAAGTAAGAATAAATTCCAAGTGCTCCATCTGGAGACCAGTACTTAGTGGAGTACCCCAAGGTTCCGTCTTAGGTCCTTTACTTTTTATAATGTACGTTAATGATCTTACAAGTATAGTACAGTCTCCAATGTTATTATACGCTGACGATGTAAAAATTTGGCGAGTAATAACTGGAGACAAAGACGCATTTACTCTTCAGGCGGACTTAAATAATATGATAAACTGGTCTAAAGAGTGGCTAATGCCTATCAACTCGGAAAAGTGTGTCTACATGCACTTGGGGGATTCAAAGGTTAATACGTACAACATAGGGGATGTGTCATTACCCGTAGTCCGGTCTCATAAGGACCTAGGGGTGACAGTGAGCAATGATCTTAAGACGACGGCCCATTGCCGGGAGGTCGCAGTTAAGGGGTTTCGAACCCTCTGGGCTTTAAAAAGGACATTCACTAAGCTTGATACTACCATGTTCACCACATTATACACATCCTTAGTGAGAACTAAGTTAGAGAACTGTGTTCAGGCTGCAAGCCCCTGTTTAAAAGTGACTCGGACATAATAGAAAAGGTACAGAGGGCAGCTACGCGTGCAATTCCGGAACTCCGGGTTTATCATATAAAGAGCGGCTTGAAAAACTGAACCTCTTTACTCTGTCCTATCGCAGACTAAGGGGAGATCTAATATTGATGTACAGAATACTGAGAAATGATTTCGGACCTAACTTATTCTCTCTCTTTCTTCCCACTAGATCGGGACACCTCAGAGGACATAGCAGGCGAGTAGAAAAGCCAAGAACGAACAAAATACCCGTGGCATACAGGTTTTCACACCGAGTCATCAATACTTGGAACCTGCTGCCTGAAGCAGTGGTGTCCGCACCTTCAATTGACTCTTTCAAGAGAAGACTGGACACTCACAGAAGCATACTAGAAAAGGAATAACATAGGCCGTAGGCCTTCTCTCCTTACTACACAAATCTGAAATCTGAATCGGATCTTCACGCGCTTGGATCTAATTATGCGCTCCAATGTAGTGTGTGTGAAGTTATCGGTTTTTTTAGGTGAGATATTTTGTGAATGATTTCTAATATGGTTGCAGCTTTTATCTTCTGTAAACTTCCATTAACGAGTGTTAATTATTCTTGCTTTTAATAATGTGAATACCAGGAATTCACCATTAACCTAGTATATCAAGATGAGTCATCATTAAGTGTAAATATCGTTAAGGACGAGGAGTCACTGATAAACAAATATTTAATCTTATATGATATCTTGTCTTTTTCCAAAGGGCTCAACAGTCTCAACGAAATTTTCGCACTTTACTTTCAACTTTTATTTTAGACAAAGTTCTAATTTCAGTTTGGAAAGAACAGGAGGCTTGATGGCCTGTGTTAGTCTTAGCAGTCATGGTCTTTCAGTTGATCCAACTTTCTGTTGAAAGAGTTGATGGGAAAGTTGATAGCCAGCTGACAAGTAATTTGTTCTGGGCTTGTGAACTTTTTTCGAGTGTCCTCGTAAATTCTGTTTTGGAAGACAAGAAAAATGTGGGCATATCAGGTGCAGATTTAACATAGTGCACTAAGCAATTTGAAAACGGTAATCAAGTCACCTATAGTTCTCCTATACGACAATGGGAATAGGTTTAGTTTAGCCAGTCGAGCATCATGCGGGAGCTTCGCTATTCCGGGAATTAGCTTGGTTGTTGTCCTCTGAATCTTTCACAAAATCTCACTGTCTTTTCTTAAGCAGGGGCTAGCCGCTTGTATGCAGTACTCAAGTTTGGGACGCACGAACACGAAATTAAAAATGTTTTAGCGTCGACATGACTAAAGGCCCTACGCATTGACCATAGGTTTCTAAATCTTGGGCGGCTATCGCACAGCAGTGTGCATTAGTCTTTAAGTCTTGGCTAACGATGTTCCCTAAGCCATTTTGTGTCTGGAAAACAGGTAACTCGATGTTACTGAGCATGTATGTATCTATACCTTTATGACCGATATGCATCACAATACACTTGGGAGTATTTATCAGTAACTGTCGGGTTTGAGACCATTTAAATAATTTCTCCAGGTCATTTTAAAGTTCTAAGCTATCACCCTTATCGCTCTACATATCTTGACATCGTTAGCATATAGCAAGACCGATGGTGATAGACGGGGAAGGTCATTTACATATAAGAGGAATTAAAGTCATAGCTAACTTGATGCAAATAACCATCTGGTTTTTTAGGACTATCTAAGTATTTTAACGCAGCCATCCAGGATCGCTGATAGTACTGGTTGTTGCACTGAAGATTTTGAATAGCTATATGTTGTTGCAAACCTTTATTATATCTATCGGGGTATATTTTGCACTGAAGCAACCATGGCCTGTCCCGAGATTATACTGGTTAGAGGACAAGCAAGCCGAAAATTATGATTAAAAAGACTAAAAGGTAAGAGTGTGAGTTTCATGAAACTCAGTCCGAGACTACAGTCTTATAACTGATTTCTAAACACTCAATGTCATTTATACTATTTCTCCTCTCCTCAATGAAACTAAACTACATTTATCAGACGCGCATGTCCCTAGTTTTATCTCGGGTTTGTGATGAAAATATTTAGTTGTTCTTTAAACAATGGTTAATGAGCTAGTGTTATCAACATTTTTTGTTTCAGTGATGTCGACCTATGTAGACATCTCTACTATGTTCAATTTCGACCACAGAGGTCAATATGTTGAAATTTCCCCCGATAGAACGAAAGCTCGTCGTCAAATAGGTTTTTGTGATGGGGTAGTTATTTCTCAAAGCTTCATCCGACCAGGCGAAGTGGTAGCTGTCGAAATTACAGAAACACAGCGAGGTTGGAGTGGGGATTTGAGAGTCGGATTCACTTTACTACCGGATAACTTGCTCTTGCCTCTTCCCAGGTAAAGTGACATAGTCTATTGAGTAACTTAATCATGTTTGTCGTGTGTAAAATTATTAACATAGTTTTCAACAGCCTTACGGTGCTATATCGCCTCTAGTTGTTTTCGTAGTATGTAAATGGGTTTTATTTTCGTAGAAAAGTGTGTGACTAAGATTCCAGTGTACATCATGTTTCTATAAAAACAATAAAAGCAATAATCAAATGAACAAAATCCCATTTACTTCCCTTGCTTTATCTGTAATTCCATGTAAATATCAGAAGTCAATGGTGATTTACAGATTTTTATTATGTATGAGTCCTAAAGAATAATTTATTTGATATTGGCTGGTAATATTTTGTGAGTCAAAAGTATCAGTAATGATTAGTTTGATATAAAAGAGAATCGGTGTAGCACTTTAGTTTGTGACTTAGGGATTGAGGAAGTACTGGCTGAGAGTGATTAATATCGGATAAACCAATATGGTAAATCATGGCGTGATACCCTTGTTCGATAATTACTCGTCTTTCTGCTACACATTAAAATCTTATAGTCGGTAGATTTCGTAGCATACAACTATTTTTCTGTCTTCAACCCAATAATGCAATCACTATAGTATTATCAATAACGTTTCTAGTGAAAATAACTTAAGAATAATATACGTGATTACCTTTACTTGTTTTGACATGGATTTGAACAAATTAGACGAGTGTGAGAAGTAGAAGTAGACTTTTCAAGGTACTTTTTCCAAAAACTAAGCATGTTGACTCCGTTTCGTAACCATACTTGTAACGATTTATTTGACCATTCATAACTAGAAACATCTGATTTCCACTAAGTTCACTTCATCTATGAGTTAAAGCGAGTAGCTACATTTACCTGTGAAAAGGGAGAAATGCATATAAGTTGCAGAACTATTTCCCTAAGTGAAATTAGCGTCTTTAAAGTATAGGATGGTATCCATGAAGAGAAATGTAAAAATGGGAGGTTCAGTTAAGGATTCAGACTGGCAAACTATATCAAAAGCTATTTCGAATCCTAAATCTCTATCGTCAATATTTATATGCTCACTTTGTTTGATTAATTTCGTTCCATCCCAATTCTTTTTTAGATGGCAATCTTAAAAGTATTCAATGCATAAAGGAACGTTGCTTCACTAGTTGTATAGTTGAACCCTTTTTTATAATACATGAAGCCCCATTGGTTCCACGAAATGTAGTAGTACTTACCAGTTTCTAGCTTTGCCTCAAAAGTGCGTCTTAATAATGTTATTCATATGAAAAAAGGGGACTTCACAGCTAAATTGTCCTGCCCAAAGACCACAACAACAAAGTGAAAAGAATTTCTTCAGTGTTATTTTGTAGTCTGGGATGCCCTTACTAGTTTTTTTTTATGCAAAATATGTCTGAATAAACAAATGAGACATGTAGTACGCTTTTAATGATTTGTCAGGTTTTCGTTTACATAAAATTATTAGGTAATACTAACCGAGTACAAGCCCTAACTCGAATCGTAAATGTGAATTCACTAACTGTTCTGGTGTAAGTTTCTTAGTTCTCATCATTTAGTGTTATCTTTAGTTTGCACATGATTCAATAGTAGTATTCGCAACGGTATAAACTTATATATCTCTAGCTTGGTATCGAAATCCATCCTTTATTTTTTCACTTATCTTTTGGGAAATCAATTGTGATCTCTACTTTATGATATTAACTGCATAACTTCACAATTTACGTATCAGAATATCTATCTGTCAGGAATATTTTCCAGTGATGACAGTTTACTACGCATTATTTTATTTTCAGGTTTGCCCTGCCTGATTTGGTTTCTCCAGGTAGAAGTTGGATTGTACCGGTTGGAACTGCTGTGGCCCTTCTCTTGTCACATCATCATCAAACTTACTTGAAACGACAGCAATTAAAGTCTGGTCGTCATTTGAGTAAAACCAATAACAATCCACCCACGTTGTTTGATTCTGTCATTATGTTTTGCGAAAGACAAGTAGATGTGCCCAGTATGAACTCAATCAATGGTTTTATCAATAGTCCAAATGTTCTGGTAACTAATTCTCATATGGATAAACAACCTACACATCTACAAGTTACTCCTCCCTTCTTTTGTGTCTGTTGTCTCCATACAAAGCGTGGTCGAGTACCACTGAGCCAACTAGTACCAAATGAGCTAGAACTTGCGCGACCTCCTGATGTCGAAAAAGGTAGTGTTATAGCCATCTACTATGAACTGGAGCCACTACCACAGATGATTCATATGAACAATGTACAAGTCTTCCGATAGATGGAACTATGAACATACTTAATGATATTAGCAATATTCCGTCTATAATACCAGATGAGAATGTACAGAACCTTTTGAGGTATACTTTAAACTCTACCGAAAGTGAAGAGGATTCAGATACGGAAAAACTGCTTTTTCTTTTTCGGTTTCATATTGTTATTAATGGCATCGACATGATTGCAATAGCAGTAAGTCATACTTCATTAAAACGTATTTGGACCTTTAACCTAATCCCTCGAAAAATGTTTTGTGGTAACTACACTTCATAATCTGAGTTTCTTACCTGTCGATCTTAATAAAATATTTCGGAAATGGTCTTCTTAACGTTATAGCAGTGGCATTTGACATTTTAGCCAAACGTCTGAGGTTCGAATCCTGCTTCACCTTCTGTTTGACCGACTCGGTAGTATCAGTGCCATTCATACCCAAGTACTTGGAGAATAAGTTCACTGATTGTTTTTCTCAATAACTAGTTTGCGAGTTGGTAGGGAAGTATTGATTTTATTGACTGCTCCACTCATTTGACCATTTGCATCCAATATGATCAAATATATTAAAAGTTTTCGTTAGATTTGCTTACGTGTAATGCTGGATAATATCGCCACAACGAGAAGAAAAACTAGAAAACTGAAAAGCATGGAGGCGGAAATAATAAATATGAGATATATTCCAAAAAAAGATGAAAAATGAGTATATCCGCATGATTGTTACCAATTTTGAGCCATTTCACTTAAGGTGTCCAATCATAAGTAATCGAGCCTCAAATTCCAACTACGTGGAAATCAAACGGCAAGACCATTGTTCAAACGATAGAATTATCATTAATTAAATACCGATTTTGCTTATATTAGGAAGATTAAATTTAGAAAAGACTACTACGAATCGCTAATTTGATAGTAAATAGGTTAATAAAGTGTACGTACATTAAGGTTGCCAAAAGTCCAGTATGACTAGATTCCTAATGCTCGTTGTAGAAACTAATTTATCTGCTCAATCGTGAAGTCTAGCAGGAGATCATAACCTCTGTGTAATTTTTCGCTACAGGAAACAGTGGCTATTTCACCATCTGATTTTGAAAAGAATCTAATCAGTGTGGACTCCTCATTTTCACCTGTCAATGGAGATGCAAGCAGTATCAATTATAGTGTGACCAACAGTACTAGTGAAACTCCTAGATCATTGCCAACTTCTGATCTTCATTCTTCCGATAGTATCCCTTCTTCCACACCGCGTATGCGGGCTGTTTTTGATGTTTATGGCCAAACTAAAGCAATTCAACTGCGGTCGTTACAACAGGTATGTTTTTTGCTGTATGGGAACTAACTTTTAAATTCGCTTAATTAGTAGAATAAAAAGGTGAAACATAGCTATACAATCTGTAATTTTTAAAAATAGACTTTGTACATTTTACTTCAGTATTATAGTATAATTTATTTCAGAAATTTGATCCCAGGTATAGAAGTTAAGAGAGATGAGTTTAAAATTTTCTGTTATCTTTGGTCATCAATAATTGTAGGTTACTAAGCCCGTAAATAAGTGTATCAGACAATAAATATCAGGTGTAACAGTTATATTTCCTGTATTAGTTGTCTGTTGTCCAGTCTACGAAGTACTTGCAAGAAACCAATTCTAAAATTAATCGCTACTGGTAACTTCATTCTTCGTAAACTCACTCTATTTCAGACTATGATTGTGTCACAGGCTATAAGTCGTTACACTTTCACTTTATATTTTTCCGTAGGAAGGATTTTTAGTATTAAGAAAAGTCTTCAGATTCTACATAGAGAAAGTGGCGTCGTAATGTTTGATGCTTCCGAGTTACTTACCATATCTTCGTCATATACTGTTGGAAGGGTTGGTGTGTCATAAGTTAAATTAACAGTATTATATGGGAAACTAGGTCCTCTAATCTTTATTTAATGTAAACTATTTTATATGGGAGTCATGAACTGAATTCTTATGTTTTCAGGTTTTAAAATTCATGTTTGGTCTATTGCTTGATATGAATGCCCATATTTCAAGTTGCGAAACGTTGAATATTCAATGTCGAATTAGGTCCTTTTAATAATCATATCTTATACAGTTATATTTTAACAAAACGATGTGGAGTAGTGTTGATGGATCCCATTTAAGAGTTTCTCACACGTACAATCTGTTAGTCGCGATGTAGAACTCGGTACGTATGTACATCGGCTCAAATCGCCATACTCCATTAGCACAGAGAGATGAAATTGTCAGGCCGAATTCCAGTATAGTGAAGGTAGTAAATGTATCAGTGGTAATAAAAAAGATTAGGCATCAAATATACAATTCAAGAAAATATAAACTAGTGGAACAGAAGAAATATTCTGAGGAATTTAGGATCTCAGAACTTGGGGGATGACAAAGAATGGGTGCATCTGCGTCATTTCAAATGATTTTAAAGTACATTATTTCAAGCAGACTTTAAATAATAAGTTTTAAATTCTGGTTTTCTTCTTTCTGTACACGGTGTTAATAAAATTGATAGTTTTTATTCTTATCAGTATAGTAGATTCCTCATTTTTTTAATGATTATTTTATATTAACTTTACAGAATTCAATTGCACAATTAAGCCGTTTATGCTCGTGTGCTATTCTACATCATATATTTTATATATTTCATTCCAATCGTTTTCTAAACACTGAAACATCTAATTTTGATTCAGATAATCCATTTATTATACGCCCCAAATCTAGTAAAATGCGTAATTCACCACAAATGATTGTTCCAAATATGATGAAAAATAATATATGTCGGAAATTATTTATTATGTTAGATAAACTTCCACTACCTAGAGTTGAGCGACGTCGTTTACAACGTGATGCTTTTGCTGTATTAGCTCGAGGAATTGCTGATTAACTACGAATTGTACCCAAGAAGTATTTGTTTTATATTGTGTATATTACAGAAAAGAAAAAAAGTCACCAAGTGTCTTTCACCATTATTATTTACTTGTCTTAGATCCGATCTCCAGTTTTAGCTATTATTTTGTAGTGCGCGTTTGTGCTCATTAGAGGGAGTAAAGCTGTTCTATGGCGAAGGTGAACAATAAAAGAGATTCCATACGGACTATTCAGTCTACATTTCATTATATTTTAATGTGTTGTTTATTGCTTCATTTATTTATTTACTTATTGAAATCAGATTTGAAAAGACATTACCCATTCGCTTAGTGTTTTATTTTGCTTGTACACATTTTTATTTACTTCGTATTGTATACAGAATAATTCTGAGTGGTTAATGGGAACTGTTGAAAATTCCAATTTCAATATAAAAACTTTTGAAAAATAGTGTGATTTTGTTATCTAGTGTGCTTGTGTATGCCTGTATTACTATATCTATTAAACTGATCAAATTACATTTGCAAATATTACTCATCAGTGATTGATATTGATTTAAACAAGTTATTTTTCTAAATAAGAAGTTATACAAATTGTGTTATAGAAGTAATACACATATTAGTGAAGTCTAATCTCATTCTTTTTATTTCTGTATTTCACAAGTTGACTAATATTAAAATGTCAACAAATCAATTTGGCATGCGTAAAAACGAATTAGAGGATAAATAGGGATTAAATGTTGTGGATAATTTTAGTCTTACATAGTTGTTTTAAGCCAATAACTTGTGTAGAAATCGTAAGGTATAACAAACGGAACTCTTGGTACTTCATAGTTTTTAAAGATTATAAAATTGATACTAATTTGTTTTCAAAATTGTCGTCAAAATGATAATTTATCCTATATGCCACGAGAAATTGCTTGTTCATGATTGATAATGAATATATTTTATATTCGTTGTCATTTATAGTGTGCTTGTTGATTATCTAGCTAAATAATCGAATTCTCAAATTTAAATTATATTTTAATAAAGATAAAATATAGACGTGTATTGTTCATAATTTAAACTGTCTTATACAATGTACTTGGTTAGTTTCTCAAATTATAAAACACAGAATCCTGTAATATAGTTTCAATGTTGTATAACTTATTCATATGATTTAACGAAATATATTGATCTAAGGAGATAATATATACTATTCGGTTATTAATGCAAAAAATACTGTTAATTATGACTATAAATCATTCACGTGTGTTCAATGTACAAAGTGATTCATTTTATTCAATGGACTTACGAATATACATTTGTCAAATGATTGTGGTAGAACACATTTAATTGCAGATACTATTAACTTTGGATTAGCCAGTTATAAATAAAATCTTTATCCTTACTTATTACTGGTATATGCATATATATATCACTGATAGATTACTTCTAGAAAGCATTTATTACTGGAAGTTGTTTAATGCTAGTTCACTTATAGTAGAACAACCATTGATAAAAGTCTAATTAGAGGAATATCATTGAGATAAAGTAGTAGCTTAATTGTTAAATCCTTTTCAATTTTTGGGTTACAATTTCGAGTCCTCCTCAACATACTTTAGTTTGAGAAATGTGTTAATATATCTAGCTTATACTGAGAGTTTACCTCAAAGCCGAATACATAAACATTAACTTGATAAGTGATTGCACTGAATGGTGGACTCCATGCGAATATCAGAGTTTTATTTTTAAACTTCATTCAAAATTTATATATCTGACTGATATTTGTTCATTTTAAGGAAGCATTATATGTGTAGCTTGGAATAAATGTGTAAAGTTTAGGAAACATTATGCTTAAATGATTTTATTAACATAACAACTGCTTTCTGACTGTTACAATCCAGTTCTTTGGTAGTCGTAGATTTACCTCCTCTAATCAGTTCAAAAATTCATTAGTTCTATACAGTTGACTGTTAAAATAAATGTAACTTTCAGTATGAATCATCAAAAAAATATATTAGATCATTTTCTCTTCACTACACTTTAAATTCATTACTTTATTGATATTCAATTTAGTTGATGAATAATTCGTAATTAGTTTTCCTAACGGACTGATCTAGTGTAGACTTATGAGAGCGTAGTACTAATGAGTTGCACATTAGGTTGAAGTGAAAATCATGTTATTCTTGGTATTTAACGTTTGTCTAGTTGACATAAATTCATCAATTAGACTATCTGTTCATTAATTTCCGTTAATTAAAACTTTTGTTTTATTATATTTAATTATTTGTTCATTTGTTTTCTAGTTATCAGTCCCTAATGCTATCAAATAATAAAAGTTCACTCCGTCAAACCAATAGAAATTTACGAGCAGAAATTGATGTACTTAAAGCACAAATTGCCCAAATGAAAAATGACTTATCTCAATCTCATACTATTCGTCCTAAAATTGATCAAATGAGTAATGAAGTTGTCGACTCTAATCCATATAGTCGTCTTATGGCACTTCAACGTATGGGAGTTGTTACAAATTATGCTCTGTACGCAGTCTGTATAATTTGTGACGAAAATTTTTTCAGTGTTGAAAGATTTTATTATTATTACGAAGAGTAATCCTTTACTTTAACACAAAATTTCGTTAATATGCGTACCTAGACTTCTGTTAGTAGTTTGTTGTGATGTTTTAAAGAAGAGTGAAATTTCCATGATTAAGTTACTCAGCTTAGTAAAGTCAACTCCACCAGAATTATTTAAATATTTTAGTGGGAAGGTAGAAATCCTTTAAAAATAAATTCTTTTCCATTTAATAAACAGATGGGTGCTGCTGTTTGCAATAACAGATACAGATTATTAGTCACACTTGGGTCTCAATAGTAATCGTAGAAACATTGATACCACGATAACAAACGCTCTATTAACAGTAATATCGTATCCAAACAGTTAAATAGGTAATCAGTTATATGTACACAAAATTTACTTGTTTATAACAGTCAGTTCATCATTTGAATCGGTACAAAAATATCCAATATAATTAGAGTGGTTCATTTCATAGTCAAATACTTATTTAGTATCTTATGAATTTTTGACATGTTTCTGATAAATATTGACATTAGTATTTGTATAGAGAAATCAATCACAGTGAAATATCTCTATCTTTTCATCAGTTTCAATCACTAGTCTACGGTATTTAAAACATTAGAAATAATTTTCTCTTCATTTTCAAATGATAATACGTTTTAGTAAATTAAAACAATGTTACAAATTTATTTGTAAATGCTAGAATAGTATAATTAATTGATTAGAAAAATTCACCAGTTCAAGTAATCTTCTCTTCAAAACAGCGTATATCTGACATGAAAAATTGTAACTTAATTTGTCTGTACCATAGCTTTTAAAGCAATCTCTACAAAAAATTCTTAGGTTCCCGTCTTGTGTTCTAGATCTTTATACCATTCATTTCTACTGAACAATAGAAATTTCATCTGTATGTCATAGTTAATCATCACTAATGAAATAGAAATTAGGCTATAAAGATACTTTTTCTGGTGATAACTTTAATAAAGCAATCTTAACTTTCCTCTATTGTGCGTTTTCATCATTTATTCGCTCTGCTGAAATTTCTCGCTATTATTTCAATATACAAGGCTAAACAAAAATTCTATGGTTTAAATCACTAACTGATCTTAACTAGACCACCATTGAAACCAGGAACAATTGTTTCGCTCTAATGTTGAGCTCCTTAGCAATGCACATCCGCGACCCCGCATGCGGAAATCAAAACCAAGACCTTCGGTTCCGCTCTTGAACCCTCGACTTCTAGACCATAGCCAGTATCCAACGGTGTTAATGCCTAACGTCAATCAACTGAAGGCCGTGGGTTCTATTTTTAGATGCGGTGTCGTAAGTTCGCACTTCGAACGAGTCCCATACTAGAACGAAATGACCGTTCAGTGCTTCCAGGCTTTCAATGGTAGCCTAGCCAAGATAAGTTCGTGATTTAAACTATCAAAGTTCTACTACCTCCATAAATCTCTTTATACTACCAAAGCAAAATTTGTTAACTGGTTTATTCGATCAATTAGAACATATCGCTTTGTACAACTGATGGTAATTTAAGTTTAAAAATCTGTCATAAGTAATTAGTTTAACTTTAACTATTTTTTTTACTATTTCAATTTCTCGGACTATCGAATTTCTGCACATAATTTGTGTTATTCTTAGACCAGAACAAAATCAAGATTCACCTAGTTATTTATCACAGTTTTTCAAATTGCAGTCCATTTAAGGAATATCTTTATTTTATTTATTAAAAACTTCTAGTTGTTACTCAATAGATAGACCTATTTATTGAGTAAACCAATCATCTATTGTTTCTCACGTGTTACTGTTTTCTTTTAACGGATGATTGTTTCTAAGTCAAACGTAAAATTGAAAAAAAGTTATTTTGGAAAATAATATAAAATGATTATTTGATACAGCCTGATCGCTTGATAAGTTTGGACAGAGCAAGAACAATAAGGTTTGCAAAACAAGATTAATGCATTCTATTTTATAGGTTCTCTCCAGCTGCAAATAGTTTAAAATTACAGGAAATACTATAATTATAGACATTGCGTAATCCCTTTTTCTTTTCATTATGATTATTAGTAACCATAATATCACATCCCTTACTCTTCATTATTATTCTTCAACATACAAACACACATCAATCTTGACCATATTTAGTCAGTTTGTATCTTGTTCTTTTTATAACGATTCTCAGTTCCGTTTTAAACATCCATCTCAACTTCACCAACCAAATTGTGTTAAACCCTTGTTCATAATTATATTTTCCCATGTGATTTTGGGCTGCTTAGACGTCATAAGAAACTCGGAAACAATTCATCTTATTTTATCGTGTTCACTGATATATACGAATGATTGACATTAGACAACCTAATATTTTTCACTGTTATCAGATGCAAAAATATCCAGGAGTTCGTGAATAAAATTTTATGGATCGCTTCCTTGTTCCATAAGTACATATTTGTTTAAGTGGTGTTTTGCAATAATCTAATACGCTTTTATTCAATTCTAATTTCTAATTATTCAGAATTCGAGAAAAGACTGTTGTTATAGTGGGTATTGGGGGTGTTGGCTCAGTGACTGCTGAAATGCTTGTTCGATGTGGAATCGGTCGTCTGATTTTATTTGATTATGATAAAGTGGAGTTGGCCAATATGAATCGATTATTTTTTCAGGT